TGTGTGTGTGTGTGTGTGTGTGTGTGTGTGTGTGTGTGTGTGTGTGTACGTGTGTGTGTGTGCGTAAGTAAGTATGTAGAGCAGTGTGTTTATATTCTCCAGACATTTGGTATAGACTTGTTACTGCTTTTGAATGCGTTATAGTTTTACGCGATTATGTCAGGTGAGATTATAAACTTTCTAATAATAGTACAAACAACGTCGCCGTTACCTTTGTCATAGCCGCCTGTGGCTATTTTACGTTTCATTTGGTTATAGTGTCATGAATAATTATGTGACACTTAAACAACGAGACATTTTGCTATGCTGTGAATGCATTTATTTCAGAGTGTAAAACAACAATAAAATAATAGAGTAGGGAGGAACATGCAACGAGCAGGGACTTTAATATATTATTACAAGAATGAATGTTCAAGGAAATCTTTATTTAAACAACGTTTGCGCCTCGCCCTTCATCTTCTCCGGTTTCATAATGATGGACACATATGCTGCAGACTTTATATAATGGCAAAAAGTGTTACGTGAGTGTCAAGTGTTTGCTGTAGTTGCAGTTGCGATTGCCGGTGAATTACAAAGAAATTTGAAAATATGTAGTAGCAGAGTTTAATCATAACCAGAACACTCTCTTGCACAACCCTCTTATTTTCACAACTACACTTTAAGATAGATGAGTACAAGAAAAGATAGGTTTATATTGTATATACAACAGAGTAAGTAGAGAGTTGAAAGTGTAGTTCTGTAAATGTGCTCTTCTTATATTTCTTTTCACTTTGGAAAAAAGAAATGTTGTTTGTAATTAAATTCTAAGGTACGAATAATGCAATGCAATCAAAATTCTTAAGGAATTTGGTCTTCTTTTTTGAAATTTTTTTCACATTTCTCTTGTATTTTTACTTTTTTTTTTTGAAAAGTTGCTAATGATACTGCCATCAATTACAGCAAATACCTTAAGTTCTTCAAATTGTATTTTAAACATCGTAGTTAAATACGAAACGTTAATACGTTTATTTAATTGCTCATTTAAAATGTAACATATTTTCATTAATTTCTTTGAATTTTTTACATATTTTGTTGTCCGTTGATGATAAGAAATATTCCGAGAACGGACATAGTTCGCCAAACAAGTTTGGAAGTCGCGACGGCAAACGACAAACGAAGGCATAGCTAAATTTTCCTATTCCCGCTTACCAAGAGTACCGGTACTGAAGGATAATTCAATGCAGAACAAGATCGCGGGTAAAAAAAAAAAATAATAGCAAATCGATTAGACCCCGCAAGGAAAGAACTTTAAATTTGCCCAGCACCATTTATTTATTTATTTATTTATTTTATTCCACTTATACTAGAAACTCAACTAAACAAATAACAGTCGAGTTCAATAGGCTCTTAATGCAAAACTAATATTAATTAACAATAAAATTGAGTATAAGCATAATAAAACAAATAAGAAGAAAAAAAAAAGAAAAAGAAAAAAGAAAAAAAAACATGTACACTATCAGCATAGGAGCACACTTACAACCGGTACAGGACCAAATTGCAAATGAACCCCTAAGCCATCGCAAACATGCATAAGCCTGGCAACCGACAATAAATTGACAATAATTCACTTTTGAAACGTAACGACTTTTTAAGGATAAAAGCTAGTTTAAATACGACAT